TAATTTCGATCGCAATTTGTCTCCAATATTACAGTTCGTTGTTTTAATCTTCAGTCTTAAAATCTTACGAAATGTTACAAATAACCACAAAAATAAACAGGCGAAACTTTCGATCTAAAGCTTAGTAACACTGACGTGATTATAAATTTAAAATTTCACCAAAACTTCAAGAAATTAAGGAGTGTTATGAGAACTTCAAGTCAGAACTAGTGAAAGACAATTTAACACTCGGCATCACAAACATAACTCACAAATTAGTTCACAAATTAATGTTTTACGCTATAAATACTTCGTATCACATGTTTTACGTGCAGACGCCACAAAATATTTAGTAAGTACACTGCACCAGCAAAGATATTAATGTCGGCAGAATGTCTGAAGTTACCCGAAGAGACATCTTTGTGCTGCTAGGCTGGTAATGCTACTGCCGGGATGCTGGGATGGCTGGACCGCTAGATGTGAAGGTGCATTGATCGTTTTGAAACTGTGGCTGAGGGGGGAAAGGGGAGAGGATTGGCGACGGACGGGGTGGAAACGAGACGGAACAGCATGGGCAGAAGTTCCCAGATACCAGCCCCAGAAAATCCAGCGACTCTGTTTCTCTCTAACTAACCCTCCACGAAGGGGCACTGCATTGCAAGAACGGAAAGACGACAGAAAATGGAGATCCACTTGTTATTTCATACAAAGAACAGGAATATCCGCGAAACCCCTGTGACGTCATCTCCCCCCCTCCCCCCCCAAAAAAAAAAATTATGGTACAGTACAAAAGAGACTTTTATCTTGTGAGATGCTGTACATAATGAAAATCTTCTCCGGTGAACGCAAGAAGCTGGAAACACATGCAACCGACTCATCAAACAAATGACAAAGGCTGACATTTGTGGGCCCCTGGAACCTATTTATTTTATTTTTATTTGGGGTTAAGGTATAGAATAACGATATTTATAAACAATCATTTCTTGAAATAAACTATACTGCATTTGAAAAAAAAAGTCAAATATTGGAGTACATTGGCGTCATAACAAAATTTCCACGCGTCATATTCCAATACGAAGACTAACAACACCTGACCGACATTTATCAGATATTACTAATTGAACAAAATTTGTTCATTTTATCACAAAATTACACTGTAACACGTATATAAAATTTCTAGTCAATTTTAGAATGTATTAAATCTGCAATAAATTCTTCTGAGATTGAGGTCTTCACTGTGAGGTGTACTGTAAAAAAAAGTTAACTCACACAGCTGAGTCTCTGTAACAAGTCATGTAATTTACAGATCGGCGTCAGAGCTGTCGACTCGCACATGGTAAAGTCAGACACACGACTGAAGGATACGTCGTCTATGGACAGGAGAGCAGTCACAATGGACAGGAGAGCAGTCACACTGCGGTATAACTGAAGTACTCCGATATCAAACGAAAATAAAAAATTGTTCTGGTTGTCAAGACCCAGGACTGTCAGTTCTAGTCAAGCACTATTTTGAGGGATGGTGCTAAACAGGTAGCTGACAATGTTAATCCTTTCAGACCGTCGGTCAGATTCAGACTAAAATCTATGGAAATCGTGTTCCAGCCCAATTTCGGGCAGTCTGACAGTCTCTAGTCGTAAAGTATCATAAAATTATCTGGTGTTGAAATGAACAGCGACTTTTTCGGGCTACATCCAAGCCGATGTCCGACTGAACCAGAAAGTTTTGAAATCCAACTAAAATAAGTTATCTGATCAGATTTAATGTAATTAAATTTTAAACTTATTTTGGGGTTCTACATGATTGATACTGTCACGAAGATTCTCTGGGAAAATTCTAATGGAAAGCTAAAGTATCAGTATTACGCACAGTTGTTGCATTTCTAATTTAGAGGTTACGAATAATATCATCATCATCATCACTATCATAACATCGCCATTTCTGTTCTGAAAAATATTTAACAATAAACAAAAGGACACAACAAAAACAATATGACACCCAAACAATGGGATACATCAACACAATGAGACACAACAAAACAATAAACAAAGGACACAACAAAAACAATAAGACACAATAAACAATGAGATACATCAACACAGAGACAGAACAAAACAATAAACAAAAGGACACAACAAAAACAATATGACACACAAACAATGGGATACATCAACACAATGAGACACAACAAAACAATAAACAAAGGACACAACAAAAACCATAAGACACAACATACAATGAGATACATCAACACAGAGACAGAACAAAACAATAAAAAAGGACACAACAAAAACAACACATCCCACTCAAAATCAACCAACTCATAAATTACAAAACCATCCAACCTCAAGTACTTAACTTAAAAAAAAGAACTTAATACCACCTAGACATAAGACAATAACTGTAATGTATTACAAACGTCATGAACTGATGCACTCACACAACAATACAATGAGACACAACAATACAACATACCACACTCAAAATAAAACATCTGACACAATAAAAAAACACACATCCACTAATTAATCACAATACTTAAGAGTGGAATATAAAGTCCGCTCTCAGTACATGAAAATTTTATCCCAAAGAACTACAGCCCTTCATCACTTGGAGACTAAGACACTTCACTTCACTTATCACCATTTATTCCCAACTTAATAACCCTTAGCTTGTAACTACTTTTCTGACCCTCTTTCTAAAGGTGCCTAATTTACAGGGGAAAGACTCTAGCACGCCTGGAGGTAATTGGTTCCAGCTTCTTATGGTCCTATTTACAAAGGAATATTTGCCTACATCCGTTCTTTGTTTCCTAGTCCTAATTTTCCGAGTATGATCGTCCCTGCCCAGGTAGCATGGCTTTAATAATCTATCCTCTATCATTTTCCAAGCCCGGCCCCCCGTGTATGCTTTGAAAAGGGCGCACATTCGGGCTATCAATCTACGCTGTGCCAATGTTTCCCAACCAGATTCGTTCGTGAAATTAGCAAATTTAGCCGCTCTCTTCTGCACCCGATTTAGTGCTCTTACCTGTCCTTCCCTGTAAGGGTCCCAACACACAGCTTCAAGCACAATTGTGCGGGCCACGACGCCCATCGACGTACATTTCCATTCCCGAACGCAGGAACGCGCATGTCCTCTGGTTATTTTTGCGACACCACAGACAAGCAAAACGAAAGGCATTGGAGTGAGTACGAAAACTTTGTCATCTCCACATTTTTGCTTTAAATAAACCTTAACGCCCGCCTCTGAGAATATTCGTGTTGTTGAATACTTTGATCTGAATGGTTTTAATAAAACGTAGATGAGCCTCGTGGCAGCATATCAACTCGCTACGTTTTATTCTGTGCCAGAATAATTTCAATTAAACACGTATAATAATCCAATACATCATCAGGCTGGATCTTTCCACTTTCCAAGTAAAATCCATTTGAGATAAATGCAAAGTGCACTCTCTTCAATTGCCACTGAATACAGAGTAGCGTCAGGTTATTATTATTTAGTGTTCTGTCTGAGGACAGGTCCATATGAACAGGATCCTTCCATCCTTTTCTCGGACTGGGACCTGTTCATATACGTTCTTGGCAGATGATCCAGAAGTGGTTTGCCATTGCCTTCTTCTGTGTGTGAATGGAGTAATTGAAACCGGGGAAGCCCCCGGAGGAAAACTCCGTGTTGCCTAGACCACGGCCTTGCCCAACACAAGTTATAAATTCGGGCACCGCCGGGAATCGAACCTGAGACCCCAGGATTCGGGCTAGATTCCCGGCGGTGCCCGAATTTATAACTTATTATGATTTAAGGCTCCTATAATTTCACATGTGATCATTTTAAGTGGACAAGGATCAAATAAAACGTGCCCTTAACCACTGGTAGCTGCCTCAATCTCGTACTTTCCAGACTCGAGTTTCCAGAGCCCCTGAGGGAGCTCAGACGTACTACATTGGCGTTATCTGCGTGCTGCAGGTAACAGCGCTCCATGTCGCTATGATTAATGAACAGAAAATAGAATGTAACTTTCATGCCATTGAGAGAAATAAACTAATATTCAAGTTGAGAGATCGGATTATGTTCAGGTCATCTATAGGTTTATGCCCACAATGAAATCAATGTCGTTCGGCTTACAAGTCGCTGTCTAGGCCTGTACAATGTTCGCTCTGTTTATGATGCCATCGTTTAAAGATATTTCGATTATCGATCTGCTTCTCATTGTTTATATTAGCGATTATATTCGATTCACGATATGTTTATCAATGGTCCGCAATTTCGGCTGGTCGGAGCGCTCATGGGTGGATTAAGCTGGCCTAAGCCAATAAGCGACCTCTTTTATGAGCCATCATCGTCTGAAATCAACACCTCTAACAATTCTTCAACCTGCACCATCCCTAAAAATTAAATTTCTTCCACCACATATCCTTATATTAGATTGACAACTTCAGTTAAAGATGATTTTAGCGGATTATTATCGTTAACGAAGGTACCACTGTACTTTAAAATTCATCTTAGTGACGTCTTCGATTCCGCTTAGTATGCAATGTCCATCTACCTTCGAGATTTCAAAGCACTTGCACAGCAGTGGTGGGCTTACACCATATTTGTTGACGCATTTTAATTTTGGTTTAATTAATTTTCATCGGATAGTGACACACGTCTAGGTTTTAAAACTATTATCGTTGCTTGTGTAAATTCTATTAATTTAAAGGCCAGTTTACTGACGGTCCATTAAATTCTACGTGTGGTCTGAGTCATTAATTTGATATAGGCACCTTATCTCCAACACAGCTGCTACATGGGGTTCAGTCTACACACTACAATATGACTCAGTACTATGTATCGGGAAATACCTATAAATGAAATCTAACTAAAACCCGGAACAATTATTTATTTTAATCCGTCTGATCACAATATTTAAAATTTCTTATAATTAAGATAATAAAATATCATTATGACATAATATCATTATATAATGATGCAATTACACTATCTTATAAAACCCGGAAGTTTCTGAATTGGCGGTCCCTACCTCTTTTCCTTGTCGCGGTGCCAAGCAGAGACGAACACCCTCTTATCCTCTTCGGTGGGCAGAACCTCGAAGGAGAACTTCTGGTCGAACCACGGAGTACTGGACTCCCGGTGAACCGACGTGCGGTGGAAGGTTCGCTCTTCACTGGATGGCATCAGCGTCACCTGCAGGCGTCAAAACTATACTCACTAGTTGCCCTAGTTAGGATACTAAGTGACAAACAGATACATTGAATGAAAGGTTCACTCTGCAGGAAGACACAATTGTCTTACCAATGCAGCCACACACCCACGATCATTCCAGAATTACGCCACACTATCGAACTGATTACTATTCATAAGAGCACTGCGGGTCCCAACTTTTCGTTGGCTCGATCTATAGACATTCGGTAGGACTCCTTGGACGAGGGATCGGCCTGTCGCAAGGCCTCGACCTTTACACAGGACAGCACAACACAGAAAAACGCGGACAAACATCCATGGCTTGAGTGGGATTCGAACCCACGGTCCCAAGTGGCACAAGGCCCACGCCTCAGACCGCGCGGCCACTGCAGACCACGTACGTCTACTGTAAAATGTTAATGTCCAAAACAGATCCACTTTTTAGTGTAGTTACGAGTATTAAATACATCCGAAGCACACGATCAACTCTCACAGAACCACCGTTGAGTGTCTGCTTAGTGTTACTGGCTGTTCGATGTTCGTTTTGCCATGAACAGTAACTCCCATTCATTTAAACACGGCCGACATAACCAGATGGATTTCTAACAAGTATCTGCATTTCGTAAAGATTAACAGAAAAGTAATCCTATAAAATTTCACTAGAATATTTAGTTATTATTATAGAGATGACTTTTATGTCAACATATTCACACGTTTTACCTTCATACCAACTAAACGGATTTTGCAACGTTTAGTATTTGCGTTCTGTGAACTGATTTTGGACCGCGCAGAACACAGAACCTGTTTTAGTCGAAGCTCAGATAAGAATATATAAATAATCAAGAAATGGTTAGAAGAATGTATGAGGAGTAAATATGGCTGCAGCTCTTATCTGATACATTCCCCACTGTAACAAGTTAAGTGTAAAAAGGGCAATAGAACTTCTGGAAAAATAATAGTTTCTATCAGCTGCTGAGGAAGACTTTGCTCGGTGGAGTCAGTTTTAAAATTTCTTATAAACCACAAAACAATTTCTGTTTCGTACAAAACGTAAAGTTCTGACGAAGACTAAATGCAAACAAGTCATCTCAAGTGACCATCCGTATAGTAGCGGCTGCTGCAACTTCAGTAGAAGAGGAAGGTTTTATCCTTTGCCCGTTTGTCCTCCGTCAACGTGTACACAGCGAGGCGACACGGCCAATCAAAATTCTACAATTGGAGGGCCGTCTTTATCCCCGAAGTCGAAGAAACTTGTATAATTCTGAATTTCGCGGAAAATAAAGCTTTGTTTTAACTTTTCTCTGGCTGTACAGCGTAGACAAGATTCTTTTCCTTAGTTACCAGTACATACAATTCAGTTCATATTTTATAAAACTAGATTTCTTTTACTGCCTTTGAAGAAACATAATGATTTCAATGAAGAGACCACCATCGGCTTTCTTATAATTTCTGAACCACTAACACGCCCAGAGATATCGCCTCATTAAAACACCTGCATTTGAATTACAAGTGTTTCTCGCAATTCTGAAGTGACGTATGCAAATCATTAAATCTCGCAGCTCAGTTGAGATGATGGGACTGTGCTATAGCTACAAGGATCGATAAAGTACACTGCGCCATAGACAGCTGTCGGCTGCTTACGTCACAAGTCACGTGGTCAGGAGAGTACTCAGATGAAACTACTTACTGAATCATCTTTACGATATTCGTCCGCAATCATTAAATGGACATCATTTGTCAAACGAAATTCCGCTTGTAACAACTGAATGGAATCTGAATATGTTTAGTCGACGTGGTAAATTTTTTTAAAAAAAATGATATTGTAATTTTTGTCTGCATGAGATGAGCTTCGCAATAAAATATTTGTATAGTATATTAAGGAACATTAAGGCCAACCAGGTAAGAAAACCACAAAGAAGATCTCTGTCTTCTGAGTAATTGCTCCGTGTAGAAGTTTACCGACGTTTCAGAGGCCATACTGCCTCCGTCATCGGGGCGATACTTATGGACTTAAGAAAACAACTATAAACCTTTATTTATTTATTTAGTGTTCTGTCTGACGACAGGTCCATATGAACAGGATCCTTCCATCCTTTTCTCGGACTGGGACCTGTTCATATACGTTCTTGGCAGATAATCCAGAAGTGGTTTGCCATTGCCTTCTCCTGTGTGTGAATGGAGTAATTGTTGGGATGCCACGGAGAAACCGGGGAAGCCCCCGGAGGAAAACTCCATGTTGCCTAGACCACGGCCTTGCCCAACACAAGTTATAAATTCGGGCACCGCCGGGAATCGAACCCGAGACCCCAGGATTACAAGGCCAGCGTTCTAACCGCTAGACCTTATTCACGATAAACTTGTCTAGGAATAGATCATACGAACTTATTAATAGATAGTTCTGCCAAATACTTCAGCACTTTTTACACAGAAACATACAAACACAATTTCCAATATATAAACCCACCAAATACATTTATATCCTAAACAGATGATTTTAATAAACTTCACGATAAAAGTGACATTTATACCAACTTGGAAGTTCTTATAACAGTTGCAGAATGCCCGGCATTTCGTGTCTATTAAAGCTATTTCGTCTTCACTTACCTTTACGTAAGCGTTGCAAGCCCTACCACCGGTCCTGTGGAGGTTTTTTCCACTGATTACTGAAAAGAAAAACGTACTTTTTAATAAGGCAGCCAAACAAATATCTTTATTCACTGAATGAATAATTATGTGGAAATATAAAACCAAAAATTTTTTTCCTCAGAATTATGTAAATGGTTGGCAGTCCTTGGCCACATGAAATAGTGTAAGGTTCTAAAAGTGTCTGTTCCATTAGTTATTGATACCGTATTTGATATATATAGGGTGGGTTGGAAGTAAGTAGGCATTAAGAAATGGTTATAAGCGATTATTTAATGCATACTTACTTTTCACCCACCCTATACATTAAAATGTGACGCATACTACGTAATGATTATCAACTTAGAATTTCCGAGTAATATGTGTAAACATATTGCCAGTTCCTCTGCCAATAAGCAGAAACACACATGTTAACAAGTACAGGTTAAGCCAAAAGTCACGCAAACCCGTTAGAAAGATACAGAGAATACATAAGGCGACTGTTTCAGCAGACTCGATTGAGCTACGGGAATTTTCAAAGGCGATGATTTCATTCATGATCAAGTGATTTCGAAGAATTTTTAGCCATTAAAGTCACTTCAGCTGACATCCCAATATATTTATTTATCAGTACGTAAACAATCATCATAACCTGAAAAAATGCCAAACCTGGCAAGTTATACTGGCCCGCGTAACAGACGCGTCGGAGAAGTTGCCGAGAACGTACGGCGAGGTTAGGCAACGGTGATATTCGGATAATGTAAAATCTCGAATCGAAAGCAAGAACAAAGTGGAAAAATGCGTAAGAACCATAAACCAGCCAGAGCTTCGTCGTGTGTCTACAAATATATAAAAAGTACTGAATTTTCTTTAAAAGAAAGTGAAAATAACTTTCAACTTAATCTCTGACTTTGTACATCTTCAGCGTATTTGCCAGCCCACGTAATATAAGGACGTATTCTGAAATAACAAGATAAAATAAGGGTTGCGTGACTTTTGGCTCACCTTGTACAACTAACACAAATGTTAACTTACCATGAATTGTAAGAAGTCCAGAGTTACCATATAAAGCCAGCTGTAATTCACCTGAAACAAATATTAAGTTTAAGACCTCGAAAGGACGCATTATTCCATAACAACAAATATTAAGTTTAAGACCTCGAAAAAACGCATTATTCCATAATAGTTCTTAATAATACGAATTTAGAACATCGTATTGCTGACTCAACAGAAAATTATTCGACTGTACACATAAGTGAATATGAAAATGAATTAAGTACGTCGAGGTGGTAAATTGCGGGATCCGGGTGACGTAGGATGCCTAATCAAACGTTTAAAAAACTGAGACATTTTATAGAATCATATCTCAAGTCAATGGACTCTGGTATTAAGAAAAACTTAGATGTTCGTGTTTGCACAGCAGTCCGGATGTTTAAAGATGCGGTATAATACATGGACCCACTTCGTCATTAACTACACCGGTGATGGGAGAATTGAAAGTTCATGATTCGTGTCTTGGATTGTGATTTAAGTACGTATTAGTGTTACCTCGACTACTGAAGACGGGGACGTAGAATTCACAGTCTATTCCTAAATCAGAATTGTTCTGAAATAATTAGTAATTTTTAGACTGAAGATATCTGTCTTCTGGGTTGTTGCGCTGTGTACTCTGGTAGATGTTTATCAACGTTTCAGAGGTCATACTGCCTCCGTCATCAGGGCGATGAGTATGAAGATTTCTGTCTTCTGGGTTGTTTCGCTGTGTAGTCTGGTAGATGTTTACCAACGTTTCAGAGGTCATACTGCCTCCATCATCAGAGTATGAAGATTTCTGTCTGCTGGGTTGTTGCGCTGTGTAGTCTGGT